GCATCAGGCTCTTCTCCAGGGAGTCCTTCCTTCTCATCAGGTGGCCAAAGTATTTGAGTTTCATCTTCAGAATCTGGCCTTCTAAAGAGCAGTCAGGGTTGATCTCCTCTAGGACTGACCGGTTTGATTGCCTTGCAGTCCAAGGGACTCGCAGGAGTCTCCTCCAGCACCACAAGTCAAAGGCCTCAATTCTTCGGTGTTCAGCCTTCCTTCTGGTCCAGCTTTCACAGCCATACATTGCAACAGGGAAAACCATAGCCTGGACTATACGCACTTTTGTTGCCAGGGTGATGTCTCTGCTTTTTCGTATGCTGTCTAGATTTGCCATCGCTTTCCTCCCCAGGAGCAAGCGTCTTTTAATTTCTTGGCTGCAGTCCCCGTCTGTGGTGATCTTGGAGCCCAGGAAAATAAAATCTGTCACTACCTCCATTTCTTCCCCTTCTATTTGCCAGGAAGTGGTAGGACCGGATGCCATGATCTTAGTTTTCTTAATGCTGAGTTTCAAGCCAACTTCTGTGCTCATCCACTTCAATCCACTTTTATAGCCGTCCAATTTGGTGCCCATCTGTGTATCTTGTGGAAGTGAATTTCACAATTTTAACACTGGACTGTGTGAAGCTCTTCTTCCTTTTACCTGTCCTGATTCTCTCCCCAATTATAGGATGTCCCCACTTGATTCTAGCATTATGACAGAAGGAGAATAATGCCTCTCCATCCACTTTCTTCACACCATGCATGCATTTGTCACCTCTGTTGGGCACAATCTGTGTGTTTCACACAAAGACGTGTGAAATTAAGTCTGAAATTTTTAGTAACAGGTGAGGGCAGAATTTTAGGCAGCCAACACACTGGATTATTTAAACTGCCTTCTTGAACACCTAATACCCACATAAACGAGTCGATCCATCTGAAAGTGATCCATACAGGTGTTTCAGAAATTGAGAAGCAATCCTTCTTTTACCTTACAGATTTTATTTTAATTCAATGGATTGTTGCTTGTTAGGCTGAATTCCCAAAACCGCAGTGTGGATTAGATATTGAAAAAGGATAAGGAAACATAAATAAAATGGGGCTCTTTAAATTATTCACCTTGCATTTTGCAGACATAGATACTTCGCAGGCTGCCATGATACATTCGCCTTACTTTAAGAGGGATACAGACACAATGGAATGAGTTGGGAGGATGGCTAGTGGAATGGAAAGCAAGTACTGTGAGGAAAGAGAAAAGGAATGAGTACCCTTTGGCCCAGAGAAAACGGGGGACAGGATCGCATCCGTCAAAGACCTGAATGCTGCTGTTGCTGAGAAAGGACAAAGACTTGATCTAAGGGGTTTAAGACATTAGAGGTGAGGGTTGGAGAATCTAGACCTTATTGAGAACGGTGTGAGCAGTGCATAGGAAACTCCCTTATGCTGCATCAGAACTGTGGCCTGCATAGTCTCACCGAGAGTGGTGGGCCATGGTACTCTCAACCTTGTGCTGTCCAGAGGTGCTGGACAACAGCTCCTTTAATTTCCAGCCAATGGCCATGCTGGCCAGGGACTATAGGAGTTGCATTTGAGCACCAGGTTGGGAAAGGTTGCTCAAGAATTTCATTTTGGGGTTGGGGAGGAGACTGGAAAGGCTGCAGGAGAATTCCCCTTCTCTTTCCACCCATCAAAACCCCTTCTTTCCACCAACGGGCTTGCTTTCCTGGCCATGGGCAGCAGTTGGTGCAACTCTTTCCACACTGGCTGCAAGGGGAAGGTGTTGGAACTCCAGTTCCCATCTCTGAACTTGAATCTAGGAATCTGAGATAGCCTGTGTCCCCTCAGATGCTGTTTTGGGCCGTCATTTTTCTTCCTCTGCCGCCCTTTTCCTAACTCTACAATATCCTGTTGACTAGAACCATACACAGTAATTCAATTTTGGCTTCTTTTCTGCTGACGCCATTGCCCATGTATCCAGCCTTTCAAGGGAGACAGATATAGAAATGCCTTGCTTTTAGAATTTTCTGTGAGTCAGGCTGTGTTTGACTCAGTAATACATAAACAAACATAATGCAGACAGTAATTTTCCATGTCAGAAGATGGATTAAAAATGGGCTGGACAGTTCTGACCCTTTATGTCATGAGCTGAGGTTCCCCCTTCAAGCAGTCAAAAGCCACAGGCCTTGCAAAACATTCTTTATTACTTCCATGTGTAAAGCACCCAGAGCACAAATGGTTTGTTGAACCCCCAACCCTAACCTTAGTGAAACCTTCAAAAGGGCCCTCTGAAGTCAAGCACACCTCCTCTCAGCATGCTGATCGTTTAGTTGGGTCTCTGCTGACACCTTGCCACTGGGTCAAGCACAAGGGGGGAGGCTGGTCTGAGAATTCCCCCCCCCCCATGGTCCCTCCCACTGTCTTTGCATCTTGGCCATTCCCAGGAACTACCTGGCATGGCAAAGCATCTTGCCTTGAGATAATCACCGTCTGCTCCTGCTCCAGAACTTTGGGCTAATACATGCTCCTCAATCTCACTGAAACATTCCTCACTTTCTGATTCTGAGTCAGCGTCTCCAATGCAGCCAGTAGTCTGTAGGAACACTTGCCTGAGCCCACCCTCCCTTTTGCTCCCACCTGTCTCCTGTTTGATCAGGTGAGGAGCTTAACAACTTTTACACCAAGGGCCAAAGTCCACCTTGGAGAAGCCCCGGGGACTCATGCCAGTGGTGGACAGGGCCAAAGGTAAGAGGGGTATTGCCAGTGTTTTAAGTTAATAAAGTTGTTATTGCAGCTTCTTACTGCCAGTAGCCAAGCCTTAAGAGACGCTTAGTAAGCTTTTGGAAAGGTTTCACCTTTTGGAAAGGCAGGATAGTGCAGAAGCCAGGAAACCACACAAAGGGAAAGGCAGAGGGCTTGTGACCACCTGGAGAGACCTGCAGAGCCAAACCCGCACGCCTGCCTAGATTGTGCACCTCTGGTCCCCATGTCGGAGGTCATGCTTGATGGCGGGGTCTGCAGCAAACTACATGATCTGTACGCAACAGAGTAGGCATGTACAGACTGTGCAAAGGGGTCAAAAACTGGAAGACCCCTATGATGTCTCAGTAGGAAGGGTTTTTTTTATCCCATTCCTCAAAATAACAAAAAAGTTTCCAGGGCAGCTTTACATGCAAATAAAAAGGAAATGCGATCTTTTAAAATGAGTAATATCAGATAATAATAAAAAGATCAAATGGATATTACATTTACCAGAGATAAATGTTATGAAAAGGCCTAAGAAAATAAAGCGCTTTTTGCTTAGCCCCCCTGGAAAGATAATGGAGAAGGCACTAGGCAAGCCTCCCCAGAGTGTACAGTACCCCACAGACAGGGATTCCCCTGCAGCAGTGAGGGGGATTTCTAAGGAGAGGTCCTTTTTGGTTGTGGCACCCCAGTTATGGAATGCCCTATGAGCTGGTCCTTTCTGTTTCCACTGAAGAATGTTATATTCTTCCAGACAATTTAGTCTTTTGAATGTGTATGTGTATGTGTGTGTTTAAATCTGATACTGCATTTTTAAAAATCTTGATAAGACAAGACAGCTGCCCTTTATTTTGATTTGATACTATAATTTTAAACTTTCCAGTTTTATATTATGTTATCTCAGGTCATATTATACAGTTTTAATTTGAACTACCTGGAAAGCTTTAGCTATTCAGCAGTATACAAAATAAATTGCTTCCAAAAATATCAGAGCCAATGCAGCAGTTTAAGAGACTAAAGGGGCACTGGCTGTTACAAACCACCAAAAACTACATCCAGAAGCACACAAGAAGCAGCAAATAATCATGATAGCTCTATGCCATATCCCACTTCAGAGGCTAGATACTCCTGAATAGCAGAGAAGGATGTCTCCTGTGGGTTTCTGACAGGCATCTCCTTGGCCACTGGAGAAGAACTTCATGGCCTGATCATCAGTTTTGACTGTGTTAACATATCTACATTCAGAACTAACTGTAGTTTTTGGAGTCTCTTCAAAGGCACCCAATTCATTAGAATAATCTAACCTGAATGTCAAGTTCATAGACAGCAAAATAAGTCAGGCAGTACACTACTCCACAGGCATAGAAAATGACAACCCAAATTGTATAGGGCTATACATCAGGTTTTTGTAAGTTTGGAAAGTACTGGAATAAATGTTCCACCTTGGAGAGGCCTATGCATCCAAGAGGAGAGATGCTATGTTCCATCTTCTATGATCCATGTCAGAATTACCTGTGGGACATTACAATCCATTGTAAACCAAGCCTGGAAAACTCGCAAAGGCCTATATCTAAGGTTAACAAGCAGATTTATTGTAAACATCTGTTAAAACCGAGATGTTTTCAGAGAGGGTTCAAAAGATCTTACAGTTCTGCAAAAACAGACAATTCAACCAAATCTGTCATGGAAATTGCATTTATTGCATAAATTAATAGCATTCACAAGGAATCCTGCAGTGTGATTGAGCATCAACTATTGGCTCTGAGGACCATGGCCATTTGGACATGGTGACAAAATAGAGTTCAGGTGAGGTGCAAATATGTATCAAGGTCACATAGCTGACTCCTGACTCCAACTCACTTGAAGACTTTCCAGGAGGCTGTGAGGTGAAGTATCAGGAGCTTTCACAGGATCTGTTGCTGTGCCAAAAAAAGTTTTTCTTTTTCACAGCAACTGAAACCAATTGTCCGAAGGAGTAAACTATCTCCAGTCTACCCTTGCTTTGATCCTCTGCCTCCCCCAGGAAGAACATCACAGGAAAGGGAAGACCACGTTGACTTCTTCCAACCAACTAAGGGTTGAAGCATCACTGGGAGGCTGCAGCCCCTGCCTCCCAGGACAAGGATCTGCAACAGAAGACTGGCCTGGTTCCAACAGATGGACAGAGACGGAGCTGCTGTAGGGAGCCAGAAAGAACACGCACCTCCAAGGGCCAGTTGCACTGGGAGGATTCACTCCCTGTCTCCCAGGAAGAACATCTTGGAATGATGAAGACCAGGTCACCCCCAATGAGCCAATTTACACCCCTGGAATGGGTCTGTCAGGCCCCATCACTGCAAGCGCTCTGGAAGTCCTGAAGACATACCTGTTTTCTTGGGTTTTTCCTGTGTTTCATTGGACTGTTAAGGGATTTTAAGTACAATCTTGCTTCAGCTTGAGTATTATCTGTATTATCTTAGAGGAGATCAACCCTGACTGCTCTTTAGAAGGCCAGATCCTGAAGATGAAACTCAAATACATTGGCCACCTAATAAGAAGGAGCAACTCACTGGAGAAGAGCCTAATGCTGGGAACAATAGATGGCAAAAGAAGAAGGAGATGGCAGAGGATGAAGTGGCTGGATGGAGTCACTGAAGCAGTCGGCGTGAGCTTGGTTGGAATCCGGGGAATGGTGGAGGACATGAATGGAACAGCCTGGAGGAATGTTGTCCATGGGGTAGCGATGGGTCAGACGCAACTTTGCTGCTCAACAACAATTATCTGTACTAGATATATATTGCTAATTTTCTGCTTTATCATCACATGGGATTTTACTGTACAAGCTGCCTTGGATGAGAGCACTTTTGTCCTTACAGGTAGCCTAAACATATTTTAAGTAAATAACATAGCGATAAATAAAAGCACTGAAAGGAAATAAAGAATTTTTAACCCTCTTTGGTGGGTACAGAGAACTCAGATAAATTAGTTCTGTTTCCTGACCACATGGCAAAAGAAGTCAAATGAAAATTAGGACTGGCAAAACATTTAATTATTGGAAAATGACCACTGAGGCTGAGAGAACCCACAGCGACAAGGACAGTTCCAAGGGTTACAGTGTCTCCCAAAAGATGACGACATTGTGCTCTGGATAAAGCCCAAGCTAAAATAAATCAGTGTAATTACTGGTTGCAATATTTGAAATGGCTAAGAAACATGCTTCAGACCAAGGAAAGGGAACAAATGGTGGAATCAAACTGGTTGAGGCTTCCCCAACAGGAGCAAATAGAAGACTTCCTTTGTGTCAGGCCAAAAAGATTCTGCTGTCATCCCCAACTCTGGACTTTATTTTGGAACCAACTTGTAGGCACAGATATGGCATTGCCAATGGATGACTCAGGCAGGTCCCATTACCGCCACCTCCTCAGCTGAAAACAATTCAGGTATGAATTATGACCCACTAAGCTGAAGACAGTGAACCAGCTCGTGTACCGTGGCCCAGCGGAAGCTTGGCAATTTCTCTTTTTGGGAATATAAAAATGACGGGGTGAGAGAAGGCCAACAGCTTGTCAGGCCATACAACCAGGTATGGCTCAGGACCTATTGAACAGATGCCGTAACTCAGTAGAGGGACAGGTGAGGTGTACCAAGCAAGCTGGTCGAGGACTACAACTTCCATGCAGACTGGGGATTAGCCAGAATGATGGAGGCTGCATTCTGGAAGGCACCATGTTGGGGAAGGCTGGACCAACGACTTCCCACTCCAAGGCAGTATTCTAACAGGGGGTGGGGTCTCACATTCCTTAAGGACCAGATTGACAGCTTGAAGTTGTTGCTAGATTCAACACAGCCACAAGATGCTCATGGCATCAACAGTCTTGATGACCTAGCCACAGGCATTTATGCCCAAGTAGCACTGCTGTTTTGAATAATTGCTAATGTTATTCTTTTTCATTCAACATTTTGAAAAAATCTACCTCATTGTGGGTTCTGCTGCTTTAATTGTTTTCTTCATCATATAATCCATTTACCTTTCAGTTAGCTGCCTTTTATGTAGAACATGGGGTATATATATTCTTAAAAGTGCAACCCTATGCACGCTTATTTAACTGTAAGTCCCACTGGGTTCACTGGGGTTTACTCTTGTGTAAGTGTGTGTAGGATTGCAGCCTAAGATAGACTAACGGTGGCTAGAGAGCTACAATCCACTTGAGTATGCAACAGGAAGTGTGGAGACCTGATTTGAACCACAAGGCCACTGTGGTTGGTTGCTGTCCGTCTCTTGGCATACTTCCAACCATACCTGGGCACTGGGAACCCACTGCAAACTCCCACCTATCCTTTGCCAGCTGGTTGTGGAAGGGTGGGAGAAAGTACTTTGTATGTATCTGACCCAGGGGTGGTGAAGTTTGAGGGCTACAGAATGAGGTGTGAGCCCATTGTGTCCAAATAAACCGTAGTTTTAGTTTAAAATTCTTTCTGCCAGTGACTAAGCCTTAAAAAAAATCAATACAACCTTTCAGAATGCTGCTGGTAGCGGTGGGGAAAACATACAAAAGCTGGGAAGCTGAGCGATGATTGGGAGAAAAGGTGAAGGAGGCATGTCTTTCTCAGGACTCCCAGAGGACCAGATTCTGCAACCTCACATTTCCAGAAGAGTGCTAGGCAGTTTTAAGATGCTTCCTTTCTCCGTCTGCCTAGAACCGAGCAAAACAGCTGGCAGTGACAGCTGCCCCTCCCCAGCCTGCTACCTGGGCCCCATTTTATCCCATAGGCAGCTCAGCTGTAGTGTGGAATACTCAGGGAATGCATCTTTCCTTCGGAACCTGATACCTGGTCATTCACATTTTTAAAAGCAGCATAAAGGCAAAGTGCTTGAGTCATGCTACATCTACGATCCAGTGCCTGTATGACCGAACTGAGGAGGGAATCAACTCCATCAGTTATCATGCCCTGCTCAGTTCAAACACCTCTTTCTTTCAAAAACCTTTTTGCATAGGCACAACTGCATACATCCCCAAGGCTTTTTGAAAGGGTCAGTGCACAAGATTCCTTTTCCAATGGGAAAAGAGAGGTTAAAAGAGAGGTTATCTTCTCCTTTCAGAAGATAAAGGCAGAATCTCTTGCAACTCCCAGTCTCTGTGTAAACGATTAAATATTGCTAATTGTCCCCCCCCCCCCCAAATATCCTGAGCAGGAACAGACAGCTGTATGTCCATTTGGGGCCATCTTAGATGCTATCATCATTTTCCCTCAATCCTTGCCACTACGATTCCTGCCTCCGCTCTGCTAGGCACCATGGCATCAAACATGCAAAAGGGGTGACCGAAGAACAGGACATGGACACCCCCAAAGCTGGTGTCATTGCTAGTACCAACAGAACCATGTAAGAGTGGGCTGATCTTTTCCTTGCAATGTTTTTTGGAGAAAGGGCAGGCCGTTTCCACAGAACCAGGATCTCCATGACATGGGCTGAAGGAGACTTGTCTGGTTCCTAGTAGAGCCCACATGCCAATTCATTGTACATCCCTGTCCTGGAGAGCTTCAACATATATATTGGTTAATCTGTTAAGTGAAAACTAACTTCCAATTAGAAAATGCTGACTCAGATTAGCACATGATTTGTGAAGGGAACTCCAACCTGCAACTTATGTCAAGACATAACTTCATTTACTATTACAGAGGAATGAGGCCAAGGAAGTATGCCTACTTGTACCGAATTAGCCGGATAATCTTATTGTTCATGAAATCTGAAGAGTGTGGGTGAGAGGAGTCAACACAAAAGCCGTCGCTCATGGCGATTTTCAGTACCTCTTCCACAAATACTTGGAAACTGTTAATTTGCTTTTTAGCTGGCAGCACCCACAATCTCTTTAGGTTCTGCCTTGTGTACTCCTCTTCCGGCAGGCCTTCCACACTTGCAACCCAGTCCAAGGTCACATGGTAGGGATCTTGCAAGTAACTGGATATTGACGACAAGTTTCCATTGAAACAGAAGTAGAGTTTGGAGCCCAGGAGCTTCAGGAATAAACTGGAAGTGCTAAATATGTGGGCAGTGAAGACTTCCATGTTGGAAGAGGACAAGCTGTAGATCTGAGGAGCTTCCCGGACTGTGAAATGAACAGTCTGAGTCCTCTGATCCAACGTAATATTGAGCATGGCATTCTTCTCTGCTTTGGAGAGCTCCACTTCCTTCTCCTGTAGGGCCTCAATCAGTGGCTGGATCTGATAAAAATCGGCTTCTCGTCGAAGCAAGCCCATTTCTTGGAAGTCCTCAGGGAGGTCCAGATGAGATGTTCTCAGGAAATTAAGGATATAGCGGAAGACTTTCCCATCCCTATCAATGAAACAATTGCCTTGGCTGTCCCTTTTTGTTGGCATCTTCCCACTGAACATGGCGCCCAGCATGGAATCAGGAAAACTGGTCAAGGTGGACAGTGAAGTTGTATACAATTTTCCACCAACATTTAGTGTTATAGGCTCCGACATGATGCTTCAACTTCAGAGATATATCTGGGAGGAGGAGATAGTGAGTACCAAATGTTAATGTATGAATTATTTCAGTTTTGAGGGGGGAAAAACACAAGTGCATAGTAATACAATTTTCTATTTCTTGCTCCAGTGAGAGTTAGAATTCTGTTTTATTCTACACATGGAACATACTAAGGTTGAGATAGGTATATGTATTAGATCCTTTTATGTGTAAAGTGAGATGGTTTTTATGCCAGAATTCCAGGACCTAAATGGTGTTGAAAACAGGGTAGGAACGTTTCCTTAATGATAGTAAATATCCCCTGCTCTTGAGGAACCTCCTGCCCCAACCAACTGACTTAGAACTTATGTGGGCCAGGGGAATCCAACTATTTAATGAAAATTTAGTAGACACTATTTTAACAGGTCCTCAATCACCACTGCCTCCTTCATATAACTATTCCTAGGCACATGATAAAGTTCACACATATCTTCTATTGTCCTGCATCCCTCTCCTCTCTGTCTTCTTGCTCCTTTATCTGCAAACGGCAAGAAAGGAGGCAGTAGGGGTGTTCTCCCAATCTAGTATAAAGAAGGGCTTAGAAAACATGGCATCAGAGTAATCAGCGCAAGAAGGGAGAAAGTCTGGAGGCAGTAGGGAAGGAGCCAGACCCCATCCTTGGTAACAAAATGTTGCAGCGCTCTGGGAAGTCAGATCTACATTCTGCTGTATATTCTGTGCATATTTATCTGTCAGTATGAGAGCTAGGAACGTGCTTTCAAAACAACAAATAAGTGAATGTCCAAAATATGTGCACTTAAAAGTAGCTGCAAGATTTTGTGTTAGAAGCAGTATTTCATACTTATAGCGCTATTGTAGCCATATGGATTTTTTATGTATTGCAAGCTACTAGTATTGCTAGTGTTGTCAGGGCATATATCTATATGATCAAGGCCATTCAAGCACATACGCCCACATGTGTATGTGCATGAGGACTGTCTTCTGACCCTTTCTGTATACGCCTTTCTTGGCAGGGTGTAAGGGTCTAGTCCTCCGGATTGGGCAATATTTATTTATTTATTCTTTTAAAAATATAAGTGCATGGATTTGTATGAAATGCATACAGCTTTTTAGCCATTATACATAGGCTTCAACAAAAGCTGACAAAATATCCCTATGAAGGATCCATTTCATGGTGGCGTCTGTATCTACCCATTCAAATGTTGAAAGTGTTTTTCGGTCCTCAGTTCATTGCATAATATGAGGTGAGTGTTTTCCTTCCAGTTTTGTAATATCAGCCCTAGCTGCTATAAGAACATGAAGAATTCATTTTCCCTTCCACTTGCCAATTTCCATGAAATAGGTAAACAATTTAAATGAACATGTACATCAGTGACTATCAAATAACTGTTGCAGTACAAAATTTAGCTGTGTAGCAACATCCCCCTGCAAAGAGGCAATTCTTGGAGACTGCTGAAACAGATGTTTAAAACAAGTATTGCACTGCCAGCAACTAGCCAACTTACACAATTGTTTATTAAGGAGATATTGTGGTATCTAATAGACATGAAACAAAAGATTTTGCTGAGTAAGATGCAGCCTAAGAACCATGGATGTGCCAGGCAGACGTCAAGGTAGTGACTGGGCATTCTGCAGTGGTGCTCCAAGTACTTTCTCAATTCCCCAAATAGGGCCAAAGGATCGGAGACCCCTGCTGCACACTTTCTTTAGGGCAGAGGCACAGAAATCAGTGGTTACTCAGGTGCCCATGCCTCTTTCCCTGATCTGCTGACTGTTTCCTGCATTTGTGCAATTTCTGCCATTCTAAAATATGGAAAGGCTTTTCCAAATGTGTAGGTACTGGCAGGAAGAACCTTAAGCTAAAATATGCTGGTGGTTTGGGCAGCCCGTCATGGGAACACCATCCCCCAAAATCTTCTCCAAAGTGGAATTCACTTGAAAAAAAATGGGAAAAAATCCACACTCCTGTTTTTAAGTTGCCTGTGAAGGGATTTAATAGATTCAGCTGCCAGGCTTCAGGAATCTGAGTAATCAAGGGGAGTGAAACCCTAAATGACTGCACATGGAAGCCTGTGAATCAGTCTCTGAGTACAGAGATATTTAGACTTCTGGAAGGCTGATAGCACCAGCTGCTACCACCTTGTCTTGGGGTTAATGATATTTCTCCTTTGAACAGTGTCAGAACAGAGTGTTCCAGGAATGTAAATGCAAGAAACTGCACATAGTTCCCCCATTAACTCTGCTGTTGAAACCAGATAAGAGTTTGCTACCATTTTGAGATGGTAACTTTCAAATGTCTGCACAAATATGGACTGGCCCAAAGAGACATTACACACGTGAGTCGGGGGCAAATCTAATGGAACCTTCAGGCCTATTTCCATCCATTACGGCAAGGCATTCTGAAATCTTGCATAATTTGGAGGAGAAGAATGCCTAGGGGATGGGGGTGTTTTATCCACTACTTGCTTTCTTCAGCCTATCAAGTGAAAACAATATTGGGCCGGAGAGATATTTCACTGAGCCATCCTTTAGGCTGGGCAAAAATGGTTCTGGAGGATGTTAATAATAGGAAATGAACTAAGAATAAATGAACTAAGAATTACTAGGGATCCATCTAGCACAGTTTTCTGTCTCCAACAGAGGACAGCCAGCTGCCCCTGAGAACATCACAAAAGGGACAATCAAAGCTATACTGCCACTGAATTTGAAGATTACATTTAGATGTCATGGCTAAGTGGTTTAAAATAAGATAAAAATCATGATGGATAGATACGCATGTGTAGGATTTTGTTATAAAGTCATTTTAATGAATTCTTAGATGCAGCTTGTCACATCACAGTGCTTACAAGAGAGAAGAAAACTGCACTAGATGAAATCATGACACAATCATAGCAGGGATTGGGAGCCTCAGGCCTGGCGTCTCAATTCAACCTGCCTGCCCCCCCACCCCAAATGACCATGTCTGCTTCCTATCTGTCACCAATCATTTGGTGGCTTCTGGGCTTTTGGACAGTTCCCCCGCCGCCATTCTATAAAGGTGCCAGTCCTAAAGTTTAGCTGCTGGAAGTAACAACTTTAAGCTAAAACATGCTGATGTTTTGCTTCTACCACTTTAGTTCCATTGCCTTCGCATGTAGCATGTGTCTTGGGCTGAAAGGTTGGGCTGAAAGGGGTTTCCCACCCCTTTGGTAAAGGATCTGGAGCCACAGTCTTGAAAACTGAGCCATCCAAGCTTATAGGTGAAAATCTGGTTCCCTTGGGTAGAAGGTCATTTGTGCCCCTTGTACAACTAATATAAATGTTTTGGCTTTGTTGCTGGCGAGAGGTTCCTGCAATGAACTTTTGCTCCCTTCAAGATCTTTGGACTTCCTAGTTCCACATTTCTAAGCTATTTGTGTAAAACAGGGGCAAAAATTGCTATCAGTTCATACATCAGACAATTTAAGGGTCGAAACTTGAAGTTCTACCTGATTGCCTGTGAAACGTCACTCTAGAAAAATGCAGAGCAACTGGCCAGTGTCATTCTATATTTAGCCTGGAGCAAAAATTTAGACATGTCTGGAAAAAGGCTGAATATACCTCCAGTATCTTTGCCATGAAAACCCCATGGACAGTACCAAAAGGCAAAAAGATATGATGCAGGAAGATGAGCTCCTCAGGTCGGAAGGTGTCCAATATGCTACTGGGGAAGAGCAGAGGGCTGATACTAGTAGCGCCAGAAAGAATGAAGCGACTAGGTCAAATCCGAAAGGACACTCAGTTGCCGATGTATCTGGTGGTGAAAGGAGTGTCTGATGCTGCAAAGATCTATACTCCATAGGAACCTGGAATGTAAGATTCATGAATCAAGGCAAGCTGGATGTGGTCAAACAAGAGATGACAAGACTGAACATCGACATC